ATGAAAGCAACAACCCGGAGAATATCATGATAAGTCAAAGCATGGTTTGGTGTCTTTCCAGCATTTCCGTGAACTCTAATAAAGTTAAGTACATAACATTTAATTTGTAAGTCTCATACCTTGGTATTAATCTATTCATTCTGTAGTTTTTCATGATTTCCTCAAACCTGCTTTTGCCACATGCATGTAGCTTCAGAAATGTTACTCTACATATCTAGTTGAAAAACAATTAATTTTGTGTTGTGTCACTCATAGTTACAAACCTCATGACCTTGATGCATGAACGTAAAAAATTGCCTCTTTCTCTCTTTCTGTCTCCTGTGGTTGCCAGTCGACAATTTCCACATGGTATATGTTGCTGCCATTTGACTCATAATAGCAATTTCTTGAACAGGCTTTGCCATGGCTTGTATGTCACATCTATATGTTTTTATGTAAGAGTGACTGAACAGTGCATAGCAATTATCTGAGCAGCCACATCCATTTTCAAAGAACTTTGATAATTCTTCTTCCTCCTGTAGGTCTTCCTTCCTCATGTCATCACAAGAGTGAGTAGTTGAAGTAGCTGGAGCTTCAGGCATCGCTGATTCTAAATCAAGATCTGATACTTGTAGCTCCACAGCCACCTCGGGATCAAACAGTGGTGTATTATTATCTTCATCACAATCTTTTGTCTCTTTCTCTTCTTTCCCTTCCTCTACCTCTTCTTCCATATCTTCTACTGCTTCATAGTCTGTCTCTATCAATTAACAAATACACAGTATAACTAAGTTTAATATAATAATATTGTGCATTTATACAGGTGGTGGAATGTCATTGTTGTGATAGCTAACCGCTATTCACAGTTAGTATGTAAACAGTGTTATGAATAAGCTTACCACTAGTTTCATCACAAAAGTAGTCCCCACGAACTAAAGCAACGTAGTCACTGTCTCGAGGACCTATTTCTTCACTTAACAAGCGAGCAATGTCTCTTTCTGTAGCCAGAGTTTTAAAAGTAGCCTTCTTTGTCTTTGTTATACTTTAAATAGTTGCTATAGAGACTCCATGGTTACCTAATGACGCATTAAAGCCCTCCATTTTTATTCCGTGGTCGCTCCGTGTATCATTCTCCGTGCACAATCAAGGTAAAAATGTCGAAGGGCTTATAACTCGGCAAAGAAAGCTTTGCTACCCCTGATTTTGGTATCAAATAAAAGGATTTTGTTTATATAACATGTTTATGTGATAAAATGAATTTTTCTCAGGTAAAGATTTTTTGTGATTATGAGCCCATAGCTCAAAATGATAATTCCTGCAGATAGCCTGGTTTTCTCATATCGGGTCACAATTAATACAGAAAATTAATTATAATAATTATTTCTCAATTAGATTGCTATTATTAAATAATCATATAATTACACAATAATAGTAATAACACTTTAAAGTAACATTTTATTTATTGCTTGCAATTGTACGTTGGAGTAATTCCTGCTTTTTTGAAACCATTCACAATAATATCCTTGCGTGCCTTAAAGTGATCATGCATTTGCACTAGCCACTTGACTCCCAATGGTTTGAGTGTAGATAAGCTCAAATCAACTCCACATCCTGATGGTACTACTGCATCTTTTGATGAATGCTGTGACTGAGAGCTCTTATCAACAGCACTACAACACACTTGTTCTGAATACTATTCAGAAAACTGCTTGTGTAGGCAATCCTTAACAGCTTTGTTGACGCTTATGTCCAGTGGTTGTAATCTATCCGTAAGGTTCGCTGGAACAATTGCAATTTGAATGCTATTGTCAGAGAGAAGCTGGAGAACAGTATGAGTGCATTGACCTTTAAATCGGTCATATATAACTAGGGCTGCATGATCAGGAGAAAGTGACAATTTCTGGTGTGTTTCTTGAACATAAGGAAGAAGATTCTTTCGTATGTTATCAATAGTAGTCCGTTCGTTGGCCCAGTGATTTTCAGTAAACGTCACATGCCAGCTCTTCGGAAAGGAAACTGAAGGTAAGCACCGAGGAGTCTTTCCAGCATAAATGACTTGCGGAGGCAGAAAGTCACCATTAAGTGAACATGCAAAGACTACAGTTAGTTGTCGTTTATTTCCTAATCCTACAATTTTCACCCTATGAACACCTTCCGCCATGGTCAAATTACTCACCGGAATATAATTTATCCCCATATGATCCCAGTTAATAACTAGTTCGTGAGGAATTTCTTCCATTTCCATAATCACTTCTATGTCATAAATAAATTGCGCCTTTAACATTTCAAAATGTCCTACAGTAACTCCTGTCTTTGTGTTGGCTCTCCTCTTCCAAGCCTTTTAAGAAAATTTATAGCCCATTCTCGATTGCACACAATATGGCCACCATTACATTGTAAGAGATTGAAATCATGCTTTTTCACAATGCCTATGGCAGCTGATTACACAATGTCACCATTCACTACCACTCCATTTCTACGTAACTCAGTTATGTATTCTCATGTATATGTTTCCAGTTTCTCCCCAAATATTAGTGGTCTTCCTTGTCGCTTACATTCCAACTTGGTAATGGATGATGTCACATTGATACCAGTATCTCTCCTCAATTGAAGCTCCCTTTTATACTCTTTAACCCAGGTCTGAACTGTTCTTTCCTTGAGCTTGCGTTCCTGTAATTCCTTGTCATACTTATTGACAGTCTTTGTCACACCATTGTCAATAGCTGCACGAGCTATAATAGCCTTTTCCTCTGGACTAAACCTGTCATATGAACCACGAGTATGTTTCCTACACTTACCAGACGGCCCACTCATAGTAGTGAGTTTAAGCACAGACTCTACTTCATTGTTAGCTGATATAATACTGCTGGTTGGAAATTTTAACGACAGAGGTCCTTAAGGATCTGGTAAGAGAGCTTTGTCTGAATCTTCCCTCGAATCCTTTCTTTCGAAATAACTAAACAGAGTAGCCATTGTTAAAGTTCAGGCACATGCACACATACACTAATGCACACATGCACAGTCAGTGAGTCATGTGCACGTGTGTGCAGAAGGAACAGCACCGCTTACTAATTACCATACCTACCTGAAGCATGCAAAATTTTGTGGATTTTAATTTCGCAAATTTTTCCAAAACGCGTAAATTGCCAAATTTAATCTCCTCGAAATATATGCCGTATACAGTATCTATTGCAACTAACCTAACTTTTTATGCT